GCCAGGCATGGCTCCCTTGGGTGCAGAGGAGGCAGGAGCTGGAGCAGGCAAAGGCCAGTGCTCAGAGGGGCACCTGCTGGACAGCTTAGAGCTGCTTCCAAACTTTCCTGATTTCTAAGAGACTTTGGTCTGAGGCCACAGGAGAGACACGATGCAGCCAGAAAGACAGACCAAGACTGGAGCTTGTCCACTGTTTCACACTGCTGAGGTCTTGGCTGGACAGCAAGTGCAGAGCAGACTATTGCAGTAGCAGAGCACAATGAAGACCATCACCAAGTTGAGCAGCACCAGGAGCAGCTGTGCTGCTGCCCTTGCCATAACACACCAGAACCAATCATCAGGGATCCCAGTGAGCCATGAACCAAGTGTCCACACAATCTCTGTGTTTCATACCTTTCCCCCAGCACTGCATGCTCCACAGCAGATCTTCTCACCAGGGTGAGTCCACTGTCCTGCAAGACTCAGAGGCTTCAGGCTTCATGCCAGACCCTAGGCTCAAAACCAGGCCCACTCTCCAATCCCCAAAAAAAATCCAGTGGTCCAAACTCATATGAAACCCTGCTTGCAGTTTGCTGACTTAACTCACCTCTGGAGAAGGAGCAAAGCCAAATGGTCTCCTGTGCTGCTCCAGCCTGGCTGCCCACAGCCTAAGGAGTTTATCTGGGGACTTTCTCACAACCACCAAAATGATCTCTTCATGAACATCTTAAGAAAAACAAAAAGCAGGGAGCCAGGACACAGGAGTTATCACCACATGGCCTGGCAGGCTCTCTCCATTTCCCCCAGCTGTGAAACGGGTACTTTTATTTCCCAGAGGCCAATGAGAGCTTTTTCTGAATATCATCCAGTGACAATTTCATTCCTGGAAGCAGTGCCCAGTACCAAGCAATGCATTTATGGATGATTCACCCAAGAACCCCAGCCCTTTCCTGCAGCTCTGATAGAGGCAGGAAAGATCTGAAGATGAACCTTTTCACAGACAGAAAACACGTGCTGCAGAAGTCAGGGACCTTCCCTGGTTCCATGGGACTGCAAGGGGTGAGGCACACATTTCCCCCAGTCTGACCTCTCTGGAAGTCAATATATTTTCTCCATATTTGATGTCTGCCACCCACACCACCCAGCAGAGAAAGCTGCTGCTGTACAGGAGGGTTTGCAATGGGCAAAACCTAAAAGAAGGAAGTTCTTGACAATAGACAAAGTGGTTTAATGGTGCACGGGCAAGTCTCTGCAGGGTGCTGAGCCCCACAGTGAGCACCCTCAGCTTTTTCTCCTGGATGGCAGCCCTGAGGAGCAGCCTTTGGTGGCCCTCTGCTTCCCAGCTCCAGGAGAGCCTTACAGGGCAAAGGCAGGTACTGAAACCATCTGTAAAAGGGGCAGCAGCCAAAGTTACATCCACTGTGCCCAATGTCCACTCTGCTGGGCATTTAGGAAGCCTGCAAGTGCAGCTGTGCCACTGTGTGCTTCTAACATCTGGTGGGAGGTGTCCCTGCCCATGCAGGGGGTTTGATCTAGATGATCTTTAAGGTCCCTTCCAACCCAAACCATTCCATGCTTCTATGACCTGCCTGTCCTGCTCACTGAAAACACCACGGAGCTGCTGCTAATTTCATTAGCAGGCCCATCAAGTGGTTCATTAATCTGTGGTTTCCTGGCTTGCCACTGTGAGGAAACAAGTGGGATCTGCTCTGAATGCACAAAGCCATCCTGTGGAGTAATTTGTCTGAAGGCTTAAGAATTCCCAAGTGGATTATTACCTTGGAATAAAACTAGGGGAGGGAGTGGGGAGTTGCTTTATTTTCTTTTCTTTTTTTTTATTTTCATTTTTTTTCTTCCCCCCTTTTTCCCCAAGTGGATTATTACCTTGGAATAAAACTAAGGGAGGGAGTGGGGAGTTGCTTCATTTTCTTTCTTTTTTTTTTTTTTTTCATTCCCCCCCCCTTTTCCTTTTTTTTTCCCCCCATTTTTCCTTTTTTGTTTTCTCTTTTTTTTTTTTTTTCCTTTTCCTTTTTTTTTCTCCCTCTCCCTTTTTTTTCCTTTCCTTTTTTTTCCCATTTTTTTCCTTTCCTTTTTTCTTTTTTTCTTTTCTTTTCCTTTCCTTTTTTTTTAATTCCCCTCCCTTTTTTCCTTCCCCTCTATCTCTTTCTTTTTAATAATTTTAGTATTTTATTTTCTTCTTTTATTTTTGTTTGGGGTTTTTTTGTCATTGCCTGGAAGAAGTCAGAATACCCCCTAAACTGTCAATAGCTCCATAACCAGGGGCAGAAACCCATCCGGGCCAGGTAAGAGCACAGGCACCTGCTGTCCCCCCGGCCACCCTGCTCCGTAGTAGCAGAGAAGCAAAAGCCGGGAACAGGAGCTGGCTCCGGGGCCGGGCGGTACCGCGGCTCACAGCACCCTCTCCTGGTTCCCTGCTCCCTCTCCTGGTTCCCTGCTCCCTCTCCTGGTTCCCTGCTCCCTCTCCCGGCTCCCACCACCTTCTCCAGGCTCCCTACACCCTCTCCAGGCTCCCTGCACCTTCTCCAGGCTCCCTGCACCTTCTCCAGGCTCCCTGCACCTTCTCCAGGCTCCCACCACCTTCTCCAGGCTCCCACCACCCTCTCCAGGCTCCCTGCACCCTCTCC